CCCAAAAGTTTTAAAATATTCATACTTTTGAATAAATTTATTATAAAATAATTATTCAATTTAAAATTATATAATTTAAATTAACTTTTATTTGTTTCCGAATAAATCTTGGACTTTCATCTTCGAGACGTACAATTTTTTATTACAAAAATTTCTTACTTCTTAAAAAAATAATAAAGTTATAAAAATAAATTATTTTTATATATTGATGTGGTAAGAGGAAAATAGAAACTGAAAAGAGAAAAACATGAAAACAAACTTCTTAAAAGAATGAAATAAAAGATGATAATTATATATTTGCTAGATTTGTTAAATGTATCCTTTTTATTAGCTTCATATAAGAAAAAAATTTAACATAGGTTTTAATTTTCAAATTGTATAGTACAATTTCAATTTAATTAAATCGATTGAAAAAATAACTATGAATTGAATGATACATTTATTAATAATTAAATTGATTTACTAATTAGCTGCGTTAATTATTGGTTAAATTTTTTGGTTTTTAATTTACCATGCCATGTAAATGGACATGTAAAGGCAGAACTTGTAGCCTTAAATGCTTCAGCATGTCAAGTAGATGGACAAGTAAAGACATCACAATCAAGAAACAAATCATGCAACCTATGGCCTCATGTAGCCACACTACAAACGCTATTATTGTGGTTACTAGTGGCATATACAACAACAGTGTTAGACTTATTTTTAGAGGCTATTGATGCTTCGTTTCCATCAACCAACCACCTGGAACATCAACTTTATTATTACATGCAATCGAGTTAATCATGAAGCGTGAACTGTGTCAAATGTTCAAAGTCCAATAACAAAACGTAAACTAAAATTAAATAAATTTTTCAACAGACATATAAATATTATATTATATTATATATATATATACACACACACAAATGTCAGCTATACTGTCATATTCACGTTTTTTTACTCAAACTCTTGCTTGTTCTATACATAAATTTAGTATTTAAAAACATCATGGCAGGAGCTGAAAAGTCTTCTCGCAAGCGTCAAATTAAGAAACCTACAACCCAGTCTCTTCAAACAAAGGCAAGCATGAAGAGAAGCTGCAAGAAAACAAAACTATTGACAGAAGTTATTGAAATTTCCTCAAGGTTAACGTCTTCTAATAAATGGTTTTATTTGGATGCATGTATCATCCAAAAATAATGTATGAATGTATGTGTATGTAAATAGTTGAATCTTAATTTAAATTTATATTTTTATGATTCATATTTTTATATGTAAAATATGTGTATGACAGTTACCGTGAGAGTAACCTCAAATGTCAACAAAATGAAGAGGAGCTATATGAGCTGACTCCCAATAAAAAACATGATCAAGTTGGCAAATAGGATTCACAACAACCAACAGTAATGGAAGTATTGAAAGAGGTCTCAAATGTCAAATCCACTGTGGAAAACTTAACAGGGGTTGTATGTAATTTGACAAGGGTTGTTGGAAGTAACAACCAAATGTTGAGTCCTTCTCATTGTTCTCAAACACAAAATGGTGTATTATTTATGAACAAAGTTTTTACACCAAATCACTCATCAACAATGGATAAACATGCAACAAAGAAAATTATGAAAGAGTTGGCTTTATCCACAGAAAAATTGACATAAAAAATCGGGTCTACTGAAAATAGAATATGTCAATTTAAGCCAACAATCCAGCCAAAGAAATTATTTTCCAGTTATGAACATGGGAACACTTATAATTTATAAAGATTCCATACCAACCAATCATTATTGGAAAATGTGAAGCTCGTACAAACGAAATTGATATACCAAGCGTAAGTTCATATGCTAATCTTTCCAAATATTGTGGTTTAATTTTCTATTATACTATTAATTAAATTTTATATTTTTTAGTGGATGCCTGTTTCATTTAGACCACCCAATGATATGATTCTCAATGAGATGGAGGTTGTTGTTGCGTCTTATATATTTCAAACAAACAAAATAGATGAATTACTTGGGTATGTATTTATTTATTTCATTTTACATACTTGCATTACACATGAATATATAATCTTTGACTGAATAATGAATAACTTTGTATTCTTTCATTACAGGAAAGAGGTTTTGATAAAATCATCTTGGGGTTATGGAAATAGAAAGACATTATTGTCTCTAATGCCTAAAAATTGTGTTGATCAAAAGGTAAAATAACATTACATAATAATTAATAAAAAGTATAGCTTAATTTTATTTTTTTTAGCAAATCGTTGTATCTTATCAATTGTTGCAGGTCCTTAATCTACTTGTTTGCAAGTTGTCTTTTCATCACAAAAAACTATCAAAATATATGTCAACTTGGGTCTTAGCAACAACTTTTTCGATAAACCCAGTTCTAAAATTTAATTCTTTGATTTATTTTATTTGCCATATATATTTAGGTACAACATAACTAAAGAACTTTTTTTACTACAGCAATATGCTTTGGACCGAGAAACATCAATTGAAACAATTACTAGATTTTATCAAAAGGACTTCATGGAAAATTGTTGATTTTTTGCAAAAGGTAAATGTCTCAACGTGAACCCATAATATTTAATATTTATTTTTTGGTGTAGTTAATATCTTATATATGTCATGGTAATGTTTTTTTTAATTCATTTGTAACAGATATTTGTTCTTATTAATGATGGACAAAACCATTGGTACCTTCTAGTGGTTGACATGCTTGATATCGATAAAACTCTTCATATGTTGGACTCTAAACCAACACCATCAACAACTCAATTAAGAAAGCAGAAAGTAAAAAAATTGGTAATTTGTTTATGTATTTTATGTATTTATATAAGTATCATTTGTAATAAACCTTTTATATTTGTCTTATTAACTAATTTTGTTATATGTAGGCTATTGTTTTAGAAGAAACATTGTAGGACCCTTCATTCTATGATAGTCACAATGCTGTCAAGCCTATAATATCTGATTATGATTTGAAAGAACCAGCTGAACTTGGCGAACAACTACATGGATCGTAATATCTTAATCAACCATTTTTAATTTAAATTTTAAATTTTTATATTACAATTATTATAATTTTCATATAATTATTCAAAAACTTGATACATAATAAAATTTATATATTTATTCATTTTTAGGAATGATTGCAGTGTTTTGGTTGCTGAATGGAAGCGTGAGTGCATTTGGAGTGATCAATATGAAAAAATTTCTGTAAGTGTTTATATCAAGCCAAAAATATGACAATTCACTTTTTAATTTTCATAAAATAAAATTAACCACTTGTATTTTGTTATTGACAGGTGAAACATAAAAATAGGATGCGTTTAACTCTTGATTTAGTTCTTGATGATTACAATGATATCAAGAATGAAGTTGTTCATAGGGCTTTTCAAAATTGGGATAAGGTTCAAGCTAAAAGGAAGAATCTAGTCAAAATTGGATGATTGAAGATTTTTGAGTTTGGATTAAAAAGTTTTCTTTACTAAGCCAGAATTTAGTTTTTTGTTGTCTCAATTTGAACTTTGGTTACTACATGGTTGTTATTCATTGTCTGAGTTTTTGATTTCTTATTTATCATTTACTACATGTTGCTTTACTATGGGAAAATGAATTTTATATTTTAAAATGGGTCAAAGTGGGCTAGCCAACATGGGCTGAACTGACCCGTTTTGACAGCTCTTTTGTTTATGAATGATTATTATGCCATGTTTACATTCATGAAAGTGTATTTTTTGAAGAAAAAAAATTATTACCTATATAATTAATACTAATACTAAGATACAGAGCACTATCATTCAAATAATACAAATAATTAATATAATAAACAAAATTAATACAATCTACACTAAAGCCCAATATGCATCACAAATAGAGTAAATTAATAATGTACAGTTCAAAATCTTAATAATGAATAAACAACCTCATGTATAACAACATATAAATTCATTTTACATATTCATACCTGGATGAAACACTCCACCAATAATTTGATCTTTAAATATTCCACGAACTACACCATGGTAATAATCAATTTCACCAAATAAGAAATTTTTACGTCCTCCACCAGTAAGAAGTATAATAATTGTTTTTTTTTTTGCAATGACCAACATAAAAGCAGGGTCCATCTATTTAAAAAGCAAAATAAAATAATAAGTAATCATGATGTATACCCTTTGCCAATAAAAATCCAAAAAAGTATAAAAGAAAATTAAATAACCTAAGGACATTTCATATACAATATTCAATTGAATAGAACGATTTGTTCACATAAGATGAGGATGATATCCATATTACACTTTATAACACCCCAGTTTTCAAAAAGGTTATTATTATTATTATTATTATTAGATGGTATTTGATCATAATTATTTTACAAGTTTCTTAATAGGTAACTATTACAGTCTAGGCACTTTGTACCTCTATTAAAACAAATAAAAGCTAGAAATAAATGTATGTTGCTTTAACATGTACTTTGTCCTTCACTCCTACCATCTTGAATTTGACACCTGGATTTCATAATATTGTCAATTAATTATTTAAAAGAAATTAATAATAAAAAGATATAATAGTCTTGCAAATGTGGAGATCAAGTAGGTTTTTAAGAAAAATATTTCCTTTATATAGAGTAAGTATAGATAGAAGAAAAAGAAGATATACATAATATTTTTCTTTCATTCAGGTAAAAGTACATTACTTTTTTAGACAAGGACAAAACTTCATAGCTATGAGACCAGTAAAGGACAAAAAGGTTCCTAGGACTCTGCTATATTCAGACACAACTGCTAATAGGGCAAGGAAACTTCACGCATTGTCTATGAACAGGAAGCAACATTTAATGTAAGAATCTGAGCAATAAATGAGAAGATCAAACTAGTCATG